ACAATGAAATACTATTCAGCCATAAAAACGAACAACATAATGCCATTTGCAGCAACATGGATGCTCCTGGAGAATGTCATTCTAAGTGAAGTAAGCCAGAAAGAGAAAGAGAAATACCATATGAGATCGCTCATATGTGGAATCTAAAAAAAAAAACCATAAATATATGACAGAAACAGACTCACAGACATAGAATACAAACTTGTGGTTGACAAGGGGGCGAGGGGGTGGGAAGGGACAGACTGGGATTTCAAAATGTAGAATAGATAAACAAGATTCTACTGTATAGCACAGGGAAATATATACAAGATCTTCTGGTAGCTCACAGTAAAAAAAAAAGTGACAATGAATATACATATGTTCATGTATAACTGAAAAATTGTCCTCTACACTGAAATTTGACACAAGATTGTAAAATGACTATTACTCAAGTTAAAAATTTAAAAAAAAGAAAAGAAACTCTGCATATAATAAAAACAGAATAAATGTTTTTTTAAAATAAGAACAGATCATCCAGACAGCATATCCATAAGGCAACAGTGATCTTAAGTATCACAGTAGAGCAGATGTACTTATCGGATATCTGCAGGACATTACATCCAAAAGAACAGAATTAAAAACCTTTTAAAAATTAAAACATAATTAATTTACATTATTGTGTTGATTTGAGATATACAGGAAAGTGATTCAGATGTATATTATAAATATATGATAACTGCCTTTCTCTGACATACTTCACTCAGTATGAGAATCTCTAGGTACATCCATGTTGTTGCAAATAGCAATATTTCATTCTTTCTCATGACTCATTAATATTTCATTGTGTATATATACCATGTCTTCCATATTCATTCATCAGTTCATGGACATTTAGGCTGTCTCCATGTCTTTCCTATTGTAAATAGTGCTGCTATGAACACTGGGGTGCATGTAGCTCTTCAAATTAGAGTTTTCTTTGGATATATGCTCATGGTTGGGATTACTGCATCATACGGTAAGTCGGTCTTTAGTTTTTTAAGGGATCTCCATACTGTTTTCTATAATGGCTGCATAAAACTGCATTTCCACTAACACTGTAGGAAGGTACCTTTTTTTCCACACCCTCTACAGCATTTATTATGTATAGACTTTTTCTTACGATGTAAATTTTGACTGATGTGAAATGAGGGCTCACTGTAGTTTTGATCTTGCATGTTTCTAGTAATCAGTGGTACTGAGCATGTTTTCATATGCCTGTTGGACATCGGTATATCTTCTTCGGAGAAAAGTCTATTTAGATCATATGCCCATTTTTGATTGGGTTGTTTTTGTTTCAACAGTAAGCTGCATGTGCTGTTTGTATATTTTGTAAATGAATCCGTTATTGGTCACTTCATTTGCAAATATTTTCTTCCATTCCCTAGGTTGTCTTTTTCATTCATGTATGGTTTCCTTTGCTGTGCAAAAGCTTTCCAGTTTAGGTTCCATCTGTTTATTTTGCCTTTTATTTCCATTACTCTTGGACATGAATCCAAAAAATATATTGCTGTAATTTATGTCAAAGACCATTCTGGCTGTGTTTTCTCCTAGGATTTCTATAACATCTGGTCTTCCATTCATGCCTTTAATCCATTTTGAGTTTATTTTTGTATATGGTGTTGGAGAATGCCTACAGAATATATATGTTTTAAATGCACATGAAATATTCTCCGAAACACATCATGTTCTAGGCTACAAAACTAGGCTCAACAAATGTAAGTGGATAGAAATTATATAAAGAATGTTTTTTGACGACTGTGGTATGAAATAAAACATCAACTGCAGAAAGAAAAACAGGAAAAGAACAGTTATGTGGAGACTAAACAACATACTGAAAAACAGAGGGTTAGTAAAGAAATCAAAGACAAAATCAGATCTATCATGAGGTAAAAGAGAGTAAAAACAAAACTTTCCAAATTAATCAGAGACAGCAAGAGCATTTCTACAAGGCATGTTTATAGTGATACAGGCTTACCTTACAAAAAAGGAAAAAATCTCAAAAAATTCTTAACACACCATCTCCCAGAATGAGAAAAAGAAGAACAAGACCCAAAGTCAGCAGATAGAAGGAAATGACAGATCAAAGAGAAAATTTTTAAAACTAGAGACCAAAAATGCCAATCGAATTGGTAAATGAAACCAAGATCTGGTTTTTTGAAAAGATAAACAAAGTTGATACACTTTAGAGAGACTCATCAAAAAAAAAAAAGGGGGGGGGGGTGGAACGCAAAGAAACAACAGAAGAAATAAAAGAGGAGAAATGACAGCTGATACTACTGCAATACAAAAAATCAATACGGTCCAATGAAAAATTATGCACAATCAAACTGGACAACCTAGGAGAAATGGATAAAGTTCTAGAGACATACAATATTCTAAGACTGAATCAGGAAAAAAGAGGCAATGTGAACAGACTATTTGCTAGTAGTAAAATAAAATTAGTAATAAAAAACTACCAGCAGACAAAGTCCAGGATGGGAAACTTCTCATGGAGTTCTATCAAATGTATAAAGCAAAGGTAATACCTATTTTTGTCAAAATAATTCACAAATTGAAAAAAGACTCCACAATTTATTCTATGAGGCTAGCATTACCCTGTTACCAATATTGGAAAAAGGTACTACTAAAAAAAGAAAATTATAGACCAGTATCTCGATCAGTACACTTGAAAAATCCTCAAAAATACTAAGAAACAATTCAACAATATAGAAGAAGGACCATAAGCAATTAATAAGGGGTATTTTTTGAGAGATGCAAGGTGGTGCAAAATTCACAAATCAAACAATGTGATACACCATATTAACAAAAGGAGGAATGAAAATCACATAATAATCTCAATAGAAGCAGATAAGGCATCTGACAAATTTCAACATACAGTCATGATAAAAACTCTCATTCAAGTCGGTAAGACAGCAACATATCTCAGCATAATTAAAGTGATTTATGACCAACCACCCCCCAGCTAACCTCATACTCAATGGTGAAAATCTGAAAGATTTTTCTCTAAAATCAGGATAAGACAAGGATGCCCACTCTTGTCATTTCTATTTTACATAGTATTTGAAGTTGTAGCTATGGCATTTAGACAAGGAAATGAAATAAAAAGCAATATATTGGAAGGGAAGAACTACAACTGTCACTATTTGCAGAGACATGATATTATATACAGAAAACCCTAAAGTCCCCACCAGAAAACTAATACAGGAATTCAGTAAAGTTGCAGAACCCAAGATTAATAAATAAAAATCTATTATTTTTCTGTGCATTAATAATGAACTATCAGAAAGGGAGATTAATAACTCAAGCCTGTTTAAAATCACCTTAAAAAGAATAAAATACCTAGGAATAAACGTAACCAAGGAGGTGGAAAATCTGTACTCTGAAATCCAATTTTGGTGAAGGAAATTGAAGATGATACAAAGAAATGGAAAGATATCCTGTGTTCATGAATGGGAAGAATTAATATTGTTAAACTGACCATACTACCCAAACAAACCTACAAATTTAATGCACTCCCTATCTAAATATCCATGAATTTGTTATATAAATAGAACAAAAATCATAAAATTAATATGAAATCACAAAAGACCATGGATGGCTGAAGTTACTGAAAGGAAAAAATACAAAGCTGGAGGTATCAAGCTCCCTGACTTCAGAGTATATATGACAACGCTACAGACATCAAAACAGTATGGCACTGACAGAAAAACTGACATATAGATGAATGGACCTTCAATGCCAGTCCAGACATAGATACACATACCTGTGGTCATTTAACCTATGACAAAGGAGGCAAGAATACACAACAGAAAAAAGACAGTCTCTTCAGTAAGTGCCACAGGGAAATCTGGACAGCTACATGTAAAAAAATAAATTATTTGAACATTTTCTCATATCAAATACAAAAATAAACTCAAAATGGATTAAAGACCCAAGTGCAAGACTGGAAACCATAAAACTCCTAGCATAAAACATAGTCAGAACCCTCTGACAGAAATTGTAGCAATATGTTTTTGGATCTGTCTTCTCATGCAAAGCAAACAAAAGCTAAAATAAATAAATGGGACCTAATTGAACTTAAAACCTTTTGCATAGCAAAGGATATCATCAATAATGCAAAAAGGCAACCTACTGAATCCCAGACAGTATTTTCAAATGATATGACTCATAGGAAATTAATATACAAAATATATATACAGCTAATACAACTCAATAGCAAAAAACAAACAATCCAATAAAAATGGGTATAAATCATGAATAGACATTTTTTTAAAGAGGACAAACTGACGGCCAACATGCACATGAAAATGTACTCAATATCGATACTCATCAGAGAAATGCAAATCAAAATCACAAGGAGACATCACCTCACACCTGTCTGAACAGCTATCATCAAAATGACCACAAGTAACAAGCATTGGTGAGGATGTGCAGAAAGAGGAACCCAACCCAAGTACGTTGTTGGTGGGAGTGTAACTTGTGGTTACCACTATGTAAAACAGTATGGAAATTACTCCAAAACTAAAAACAGAACTACCATATGATGCAGCATTTTGACTCCTGGGTATATATCCAAAGAAAATGAAAACACAAAATCAAAAAGATACTTGCATGCACCTCAATATTCATAGGAGCTCATTTATAATAGCTAAGGCATGGAGGCAACTCTTACATATCCATCAACAGATGAATGAAAAAAATGTGGTGTGTATATATATATATTTTTATATGGTAGAATATTTACATTTGCAACAATGTAGATAGATGCGGAGCATATTACGCTTAGTGAAATCAGACAAAGACAAGCACTGTATGTTATCACCTATAAGTTGAATTTAAAACAAAAATAACAAAATGGATGAATATAACAAAACGGGAGCAAACTCACAGATATAGAGAAGAAACTAGTCATTGTCAGTGGGGACAGAAAAGGAGAGGGCCAAGATAATGTAAGGATTTAAAGTAACAAACTACTATGTGTAAAATAAATAAGCTATAAAGACATACTTTACATAACAGGGAATAGAGTGAGTATTTTATAACGAATTCAAGCAAAGCATGATCCATATAAATATAGATCTATACTTAATCACTATTCTGTGTACCTGAAACTAATATAACATTGTAAATCAAGTATAAAGGCAAATAATATTAATTTCAAAGGATAATTATGTAATGTAATAGAGGTGATAATTATGTGTATAATGGCAAACAAAATATACAGTATCCAAATATTAGCATGTTATGCACTTTAAATTCATACAATATTATACGTCAAATATATTCCCACTGGAAAATAAAAGCTTAAAGTATTTTGTTTTTGTGTCCTCCCCCAGTTTTTTTTTACTGCATTTCACTTCAAACTAGCCATTTCTACATGAAAATATTTAAATGTGCTTATCTCTCAGCAAAACATCATATTCCCAATGAATACCGCCATCTCTCTAAGGATGTTATCTATAAAACTTATAACTGGCTTACAAATGCCCTCCTGTGTGAGACAGATTTGACCTCTACCTGCACAACAAGCTATTCTTTATTCTGTGTAGACATTAATTTCTTCAATTGTATTAATGACCACTGAATACATGGATCCATTTTCATGCATATTTTTATTTATAAGTCCATGCCTATTTTATTTCTGGGAAACCTATTCTGTTAGATTGAAAGCTACAGACTTGAAGACTTCATAAAGTGCAGATGATTTCAACCTGGTATCTATTATTCCATAAGTTCTGAATTCCTTTTCTACAAGAATTTGAAAAACTGCAAAGACACAATTATTTAGAAGATACTTACATTTCATGCCAATACTATTACAATTGTTCATTTTCAGGAAGATGCTCAGCATTTCCAGTATACTATTTTCTTCGGACTCAAAAGTTTAATTAAGATTCTCAGGGTGAATGAAGTAATTAATTATTTGACAATGCTACATTATGGAAATAAATGAAGTTTACATGTTTCTCATAGAAGCAGGAGATTTTGCATTCCTAATCCAGGCAAAGTAGAGGCTGTGTACACTGGAATCACGGCTCATGAGCAGAAAGGGGCTGACAGCTGGGAAGCATGCAGCAATGCTGGCAGTGACGCTCACAAGGAACCAGCTGAGATTATCCAAAAGCGCCAATACAACTTGAAAGATGGAGGAAAGAGTGTAGAAGTAGACAAAGGTGCTCACCAGAAGAAGAATGGTTTTAGTAGCTTTGGACTCAGGGGAGGATCTGGTGGAGGTGCTGGTCCTATGAATGTGTTGCACCCTCTTCTTATGCCTGTGTAGGATGAAAACCATGAAGCTGCTGGCCCAGAGCATGAGCCCCAAACATGAAACATCAGGGAACGAAAGCAATACTGCAAATAATGCATCTTTCGTTTTGTCATGACGAATGGAAAAATAGTATCCGAAATCCTTGTAGTCTGTGATGTTTTTGTCGCTCCCTTTGCCACGTATAAAGATAAGGAAACTGATGTTTACCAACATCTGCAGGATCCAACACAGGGAAATAGAGGGACCAATGCACTTGGGAGCTTTTACTTTAAGCTCTGCCCACCTGGACTTCGTGGGATTGACCACAATCACCTGAAAGACACTCAAGAGGCAGATGCTACCAATGGACACTCCCCTCCCCACTCTGTGAAGATACATAAATAGTTTGCATCCAGCATCACTGGGGAATTGTTTCCACCGAAACGCTGCCATTGTGTGGGGGACGCCTTTACAGAGGAGGACAAGGAAGTTGGCTACAATCAGGTGCTTAATTATCAAATCTGTGGACCTTAACCTGTAGCCAGTGATGTGCAGGATGGTATAATGGCAAAGAAGTGAGAAATTCCCCAGGGTCCCAACCACAGCCTGTGTTAAGATGATCATGTTGATCACGTCTGTTGTCACATCCCTGCTGTCCATCCTCTCAGACAACAGTCACTGATACTGTGAGTCACACCGTCCTGCATGGGAACATGGGGTGTGAGCTATATGTATCATGACAGCTGAATCCAATAGTCCCCACTTACCATTAGTTCCCACTTAAAAAATTTTACTTCACGTTTTTCTGTTACTACCAGCTTTCCAAGGGTTGAATGTATAACATATAAAGAGCAGTTGTATGTAAATATAATCACTGAAGGCACTCCATGTGATCCCCTTTTCATTCTCCACAAATCTTTGAAGTAGGCACTTCCATGTCTTTAACTATACAGAGGTTAATACACAAACAAGGAGGGTAAGGATTTCTCAGTATCTGCTGCTTAGTGCAGAACAAGGACTGAAACCCACTGGGAAGTTAGAAACAATGCATTGAACCACCATGCTCTGCCAAAAAGCTAGTTAGGTGTCTTCATATACTAATCTACATCTATTTTTAGTTGTTTTTTTTTTGTGATAGCTCACAGTGAAAAAGAATAGGACAATGAATATGTGTATGTTCACATATAAATGAGAAATTGTGCTCGACACTGGAAATTGACACAACATTGTAAACTGACTATAAATCAATAAAATAAAATTAAAAAATAAAATAGAACACTTTTGCACTAAAAAGTAAATAAATAAATAAATTTTAAGTATAATCTGAAAAATATATACATTCAGTTTTGATTTCACAACTTTTTGTTTGATTTTAGACTTGTGGTATTTTATAATTTTTTTTGTAAAAAGATTCCACTTATTTGTATAGTTTGATTCTATAGGGAACTATACAGTATGAATAAAGCTTTAGATATTTTAATACATGTACTTGCACTGTAGGCACTACTGCACGGCAGCAACCTGCCCCATGACAAGTTAATGCAATGAAGATGTGGTGGCTTGATATTAGGATTCCTCTGCTTTTGTTTCAGAAAGCCAACTGACAGAGCATGAATTACAGAAATTATTGAATACTCACATGTAATGCCATACACTTTGGGACATAAAATGCTAATACACGATAAAACAGTGTAAGGCAAAATAAAGTTATTATTGTCCAATGATATACTTATCTGTTTGTTAATGCCAGAGTTCAGTGACAATTTTAGCAATGAAAAGAAATTTGCAAATGATATTGACCTACAAGACACATATGCAAAACAGCACCTGCAAGGCATGTATTCTTATGCATTTTATAAATTGAAATAATAGATTTTTGGATTGATAGTACACTGTCTTTTAAAGTGGATGGAAACATATGTGACTGACAGTACTGGTTGAAACTCATAATTATCATGTTTCTTTAACTGTTCATTTCCTAACTTTTAAGAGTGAAGATAGCCTCAGCACGATCAACAGACTATGGATGTTTTCAGTGGAGACCCAATTACTGTCTCTGTTAACATCCAGACTTAGAGAAAACCTTTCTATTCAAGCCACTTCCATGTGGATGCACTTTCTGTACAGAATTAGATGATTTCTGCAGACACATCATAGTCTTTATCACAAATCTGGAGGTATTACTGGTGCACCTCTAGCAATCCTGAACTTTCAGTCTTTGTAATGCCTATAAAGTAGACTCAAGGGCAGACTAATCTGACAACTATATTTTCAAGCATGTTAAAAATCAGATTTCATTAGCACTTGGATTCAGTGACAACAATCACTGTCATGAGGACTGCGTTAAATTGCATGAGGAGCCTTCAGGAATTGATACAGGTTCTAGGACCCTTCTTTACAGGCTCAGCTTGGGCCTAAGAATTATTTAATTTGACTCAAAGGTGTTGGCACTGAATCAGATTATTAAGAGAAGGTTCCTTTTTTCTGATATGATCACTTACCTGGAATTTTTACCTGATTTTCCTTTACAGACTCGCCTGTCTGAATAAGATAGAAAATACCAAACTCCTTCCTGCTGCCAAGACAATGGGCTCAACGAGATGGGCTTTACAGCCAGTACCTGTGTGGGAAGGAGGCAGTCACAGCCTGATACATGGGTTTGTGAGTCTGTGTCCTGTCCTCCTCTTCCCTCAGGACTGCAATTATCATTTCACCTGTAACAGTAATGGGAGTGGAGGCTTGGGACCTGAGAACATTTCTGAAAACTTTTCTCTCAGTTGTTAATTACAAAGAACAATTACAAGTTTCTAGGAAGCCCCCCTTAGGAGACAAGTGGAGTGTTTCTGAGAGGCATTTTCTTTTCCATGATCCCGAAGGGCAAACAGGGTCTTAGATGGAGGAGAGTAGGAAATGCTGAAATCACACACAAAGGGATTGGAACAAACTACATGTGTCTGTCTAGATTCTTCACTTCCTTGGATATTCCTCTATCTTAAAACTAGTGCCTTCCTAACTTTAAAACCACTGAACTTAACCATCAATAAAACCTAACCTAGAGTAGGAGGGTATAGTTTAGTGGCAGAGTGCATGTTTAGCATGCACAAGGTCCTGGGTTCAATCCCCAGTACCTCCACTAAAAAATAAGTAAAGCTAATTACCTCCCCGCAACAACAACAAAAAATAAATAAAACCTAACCTGCCATCTAAAGGAATTAGAAAAAGAAGAGCAAACAGTGTCAGAGTCAGCAGACATAGGAAATGATATAGATCAAAAAGGAAATTTTAAAAGGCAGAGACCAAAAAACCCCCCAATAGAACTGGTCAATGAAAATAAGATCTGTTTTTTTGAGAAGATAAATGAAACTAACAGGACTTTATCCAGGGTCATCAACAACAACAAAAAAGAGGACACAAATAAATAGAGTAAGAATGAAAGGGAAGAACTAACAATCCATGTAACAGAGATACAAAAACTCAGAAGGTTATAAAGAGTTATATGGCAAGAACTCGGACAATCTAGAAGAAATGGATAAATTTCTAGATACATACATCATTTCAAGACTATATTAGGGAGAAATAGATCACATGAACAGACACATCAATAGTAGTGACACTGAATTTTTAACTGAAAAAATCCCAGCATATGAAAATCTAGGACCCATAGCCTGACAGGGGAATTCTACCAAACAGTAAGAAGAGCGAGCATCTGTCTTTCTCATACTAGTCCAAGTAATGGAAAAGGATGGAAAAATGCTCAGTATCACTAATTATCAGAGAAATGCAAATCAAAACTACAATGAGGTATCACCTCACACCAGTCAGAATGGCCATCATTCAAAAATCCACAAATGACAAATGCTGGAGAGGCTGTGGAGAAAAGGGAGCCCTCCTACACTGCTGGTGGGAATTCAGTTTGGTGCAGCCACTGTGGAAAACAGTATGGAGATTCCTCAAAAGACTAGGAATAGACTTACCATATGACCCAGGAATCCCACTCCTGGGCATATATCCAGAAGGAACCCTACTTCAAAATGACACCTGCACCCCAATGTTCATAGCAGCACTATTTACAATAGCCAAGACATGGAAACAGCCTAAATGTCCATCAACAGATGACTGGATAAAGAAGAAGTGGTATATTTATACAATGAAATACTATTCAGCCATAAAAACCAACAACATAATGCCATCTGCAGCAACATGGATGTTCCTGGGGAAAGTCATTTTAAGTGAAGTAGGCCAGAAAGAGAAAGAAAAATACCATATGCGATCACTCATATGTGGAATCTAAAAAAAACAAAAAACATAAATACAAAACAGAAACAGACTCATAGACATAGAATACAAACTTGTGGTTGCCAAGGGGGCAGGGGGTAGGAAGGGACAGACTGGGATTTCAAAATGTAGAATAGATAAACAAGATTCTACTGTACAGCACAGGGAAATATATACAATATCTTATGGTAGCTCACAGCAAAAAAAATGTGACAATGAATATATATACGTTCTTGTATAACTGAAAAATTGTGCTCTACACTGGAACTTGACACAACATTGTAAAATGACTATAACTCAATTAAAAAATGTTAAAAAAGAAAGAAAGAAAGGAAAGGATGTAATACTCCCATATTTATTTTGGGAACCAGCTTTATCCTGATAACAAAATCAGACATAGACAACACAAGGAAAAAGAAAGAAAATTCTAATGAGTATACAAGCTAAAGTCATTCACAAAACTTAAGAGCTTATAAAACAGCCAAATTCAACAGCATATAAAAAGGATTACAACCATGATTAAGTGGAATTTATTCCAGGGATGCAAAGATATTTCACTATCTGCATATCGATCTGATACACATTAAGAAAAGGAAGGGAAAAACCATATCAACATCTGTATAGACATAGAGAAAGCATTTGACAAAATTCAGCATCCAAGAATGATCAAAACTCTCATCAAAATGAGTTCAGGGACAACATATTTCAACATAAAAAATGTCATTAATGACAAATCCACAGCTAACATCAAACACAATCTTGAGAAGCTGAAATCACCACCTCTACAGAACATAGTATTGGAAGTTCCAACCACAGTAATCAGACAAGAGAAAAATAAAAGGCATCCAACTTGGAAGGAAAGAAATAAAACTGTCACTATTTGCAGGTGACATAATAATGTATGTAGAGAACCCTTAAGTCTCCACCAAAAAACTATTAGAACTAACAAATAAATTTACTAAAGTTGCAGTATACAAGATTAATATACAAAAATTTGTTGCGTCTCTGTACACTAATGAAGACAACTTACTGAATGGGAAAAATACTTGCAAGTAATACGACTGTTGAGGGATTAACATCCAAACCATATAAAATGCTCTACACAACTACCAAAAATCCTACAAATTTCAGTGTAATTTTAAAAACTACTCAGACAGCCATTCCATTTAATACCTTTAATCCCCATCTTGACAATGTAAGGGCACTACACATAAATCTACTCTCAAATGCCACTTTTTTTGTGGTGATATGTTTTTTTTTACATACATGCACATGTTCTAGGCGCACAGATCAATAAAATTGCTCAAAGTGAACACATTTCAGTATGCAGTGCCTACGTCAATAAACAGATATTGCCAGACTTCACAGATGCCTGCACTGGCTAATTTCCAGTGACTAAACCTGGGATAACCACTTCTGTTATATCTGACAGAATACATTACTTTTGTGTATCACATAAAGGGGATAGTAAGTTATTAACTAACTTGTATTTCACTTTCTTAATTTCTTAGTTTGTGAATTTATGGTTGCATACTACATAGATTATTCATTGGCACTGCTATGGAGGATTTCATTTTATGAATATCAAATAATGGATTTAATCAGCTGTGACAAGGAATGGTTCTAGAGATATAGAATTTAACAGAGTTTTAACTGGTTCTTGGGCCAATGCATTTTGCATGTAAAAAAGAAACAAACCAATGATCAGAGGGCTAAGACTTGTGAGCCAAAGTGAAACCCAAATTGAGAGGCTGAAGCCCCAAATTCTATTATCTGAGAAGGTAACTATATTTGCAGTAGGGCCTTAAGGAGGTAGCAAGTCAACATGAGACCCATTAGGGTGGATACTAATCCACTCTGACTCAAGTCATTTGAAGGAAATTTGGAAACAC